TTGGATCGATGTATCGATACAAAACGATTATTATTTACACCCCTAGTATCTCAGCCACCCCTGGCCACCCCTTAGCTCTGCCCCTGCTGCTCTGGAAGACACACAGTAGAAACATCCTAAAATTTTACCAATGTCTTCAACAAGAAGCAACCAAACAGATGGGACTGCCTTCTCCAACCGCATGTTTTATTAAAGAAAACTTAATACACTCTCACAAATTCTGACATAGTTTAAACAGACAGGTCTACATGCACACGCAGTGATACTATGCAAACGATGAACCAGCTGTAGGGCTTTAACTCCTGGAGGCTGCCTCTATTGTGCTTGTTTGTCCAGAGATCTAAGGAGTGCAGAGCATCTTCTTAGTGAATAGTGCAATAGTCTGATGGCAGTATGATGCACTCAGTCATTCTTGTAACATCAGCAAACCTCTAGGGGTTGTTTGATTGGATAACCCATAGTACTTATAGGTCCACCAGAATCATTATCTTGTATCAAGTTTTCCAGTTGCCAGGCTTTTAGCTTTTGCACAGAAATGAAGCAGATTTATATGAACAAGCAAACAAGAAACATGACAAGAACAAGTTAATATAAGCACATCTGTAAACTTGGAAAAAGTGGGAGTTTTTCCATGTTCTGGCTGAATGTTCCGTGATGAAGAAGAAACACGTTCATTGCTGCTAGAAGTCAGTTTCCAGGTAGCATTCGAGACAATCCTACTGGGAAAATTAAACTAATGTCCTTCTCTAAAAATGCAAAAACATCTGCGGCCAAAGCTGGTCCTGTTGTAACATTTAAAGGTTGAGGATGCATTGCCAGAGAAGTGCGGCGGTCTGTTCAGCAGATGAAAGCACATATGGTCAGATGAGTCATTGTTCCCTTGGTTTCAGCATGTGTTCAACACAAAGGGGGAAAATGAGGCTAGCATTTGTTCAAGATTCTTTTCACGAGGAAAAGAGAAATCCGCAGCACAGCAGGTACATAAAAGCTAAGAATAATAATCCAGCTATGAGTCTTAGAGAGTCAGAGTAGAAAAGTGTTTGTTGAATTAAAGGGAGTCTTAATATTTTCTGTTTGCCACTGATACTATGGACATTTGTGAGGATAAACATCCTTTTACTGTCGTCTTGTTCAATCAGAGCTCTATTGTGATTGTCAAAGCTTTGATCACTAATAATTGTTAGAACTAAATAGATGATTTTACCTACAAAACAACAGTTGATCAGTTTTATCCATCTCATTTGAAATATCAATGCAATGTTCATAAGCTGTATGCAACGCAATTTCGTTCTGTATGCACTCTGTGCATACGGAACGACAAATAAAGAAGTCTAAGTCTAAGTCTTATGTCACTATTGGTATCTGTGGCAAATTCTTCATCACTGGTCTTTCCAGTCAAAGCGTAATAAAAAAAAGTTAATTACAATAAATGAGGCCCTGAATCAAAAAAGCAGCTTACTTTTATATCGCAGCAATTATGTTTATTATTTATTATTACATTTGTTTAGGATTTCCTTCGACTGTTCTAGTTAAACAGTTTAACTAAAACATATTTTCTTTAGTCCAACTGTTTTTAATATTCTTTCTTGTTTCTGCATTTTTTATCTTACTTTATTTATTTTTTTATTTTTTCCTACTTGCTTTGATTCTGTTTTATCTTCCTGTATTTTAATCAAGTAAAGCACTTTGCATTGTCT